GCTCTACGGTTTCTCTCCTTTCTTTCTCTCTCATGCCTCTCCAAGCATCTCCTATATTCTTCCATTGAGAATGAATGGAGTATGAATTCTAAACTCTAAGAAATAAAAATATTGAAAGATGTGGTGTGAGAGGTATGAGGTGAGCCTCTGGTTTTATAGAAAAATTTGGCAAGATAAAGATGTCACGTGGCTTGATTTGATTGGATGAAAATCTTATCTGAAATTTGAAATTCATCCGAAATTTGAACCCAAATGTATCTGAAATTTGATTTTTGAAATTCATCCGAAATTTGAATTTTGAAATTCATTCGAAATTTGAACCCAAAAATTTATCTGAAATTTGAATTTTGAAATTCATCCGAAATTTGAACCAAAAAATCTTATCCCGAAATTTTATCCGATTATGAATAGTCTTGACACGTAGGAACCCGTAAATCTTATCCGAAAATATTATCCAAATTAATTATTGAGGTAAAAAAAATTGTGAATAAAACAAAAAAAATGAATAGTAACTGCCCTTAGCAAGGGCAACGGGTGGAAACACAAAATTCGGATTTTGCAAGGGCAACCACTATTCACGTGAATAGTAGCTGCCCTAACTCCCCCCCTTGCCATGGCTAAGGGCAAATGGGTGGAGTTGCTATGAGGGGGTACTGGCTCATATAAGTTCTTTTATTTGCCTCAACTAAGAGGACTTCAACATTCTTTTATTCACGTGTAAATGGTGTGGTAGATACATGAGGTACATAGCCCAACATAAAAACAAAACTCGTGATAAATGAATCTTAGATTTGGGCTCAAAAACCTTGATTGATCTAGACCTAATCGAATTAAATTTGAGCCCAAAAATATTATTCGGACTAAGAAAAACCATTGATTAGGCTTGAGAAAATCCAATTTTAGGGTGAAACATCCTAATTCGGCAATGCTCTTTATGATGAATATTACTGCTCTTAATTTATAATTCAAACCAAATACTCAAAGTAAAGTGCTGATAATAGTAAATGACTTTAAATATAAATAACATTAAATTTAAACACTCAAAACTAAAGATTTCTCAATTAAATTTTGGTACGATATAAAAGAAAGCAAGCTAAAGATTTCTCAATTCAGCCTGGAATAAACATGTTGAAATGAAATGAAGATTGGAGATTTCTCAATCCAGTCTAATACAAGTGTTTAGCTATTTGAAAGTTGCTGGCCTTTTTACTGATAATTCATACCAAGAATTTTGCAGAGCAATAAAGAAGATGATTGCATGAGTTATCAACTAGATTATCTTGAGAGTGAGGGTAATTAAATTGAGAGTTCAATTTGAGATCAATGGTTTCATTGAGTTTGAAGTCTGTTGTTGGAAAGAGAATCCCTTTCCTTGAACAATTCTGCCTCTATTTATAGACTTAGTGCCCGGAGATGATGATGAATAGGTGGTGAGACTCTGGGCTCACGAACCTTCATTAAGAAGTTTGTCTTCTTACTAATTAATCTTAAGTGGGAAGAGAAAAGCACTGGTAGAGGATAGAGCACCACTGAATCTATTTAAACATTGTTTAAGCTCTTGATTGGCCTCAATTGTCTTGATTTTTAATTTGGCTCAAAGGGTAGTTTGACATTGATGTGCTGTGAAAATAATCATTGGCGTTTGGTAAACTTTTTATTAAAAGTGTTGCTCGTACTGATTCTCGTATAATCAAAAAATAATTGCCGCATAATCATTAAACCCAACGCCTCTTTGAAACTAATTCCTACATAATCAGAAAATGAAAGCACCTCATTAGCTGCTTTCCCTTATAACTTTTTCTCATAACATTTTTTAACAATAAGTGATTTTCTCATAGTTTACCAAACGGACTGGACTTGCCAAATTTTTTTTTAAAATCACTTATCACCCCAAATAAACAATATCAAACGGGCACTAAACAAATAGCTTATTTTAGTCTTTCGCCCAATCGGCATGTGCCACCTGTAAAAAAGAGCGTTACCTTTTGACCTTGCAGTGGGTCAAAATCATATATTAATATGAAAAATGGGCTTAATAATTGGTCCAAGTTGTTACCCAATTATAGAATAAAAAGCCATGAAAATATAATAGGCCCAACTTATTATAGCCTATTATATTTTCATCAAATAGGGCTTTTTATTGATTAGGCCTTCCAGACCAAAAAATAATAATTGGTTGGGCCTAAGACCCTTGAGATAACAAAGCAAATCCTATTATGGAAGTCAGCTTCCTTCTCAACATCTTTGCAGTCTACATCAAAATAAAATCCCAAATTGTTGCAATCTTTTTAGGCCATCTCCAACAATATTGGGGCTAAACTCAAATTTCCACTCTCTAAAATATAACTATTTATGTATTTCAAGACTCAATTTTTTTTGGGAGTTTCACTAAAACACCCAAAATGGAGGTTGAAATTATAAAAAAACCCAACACCCAAAACACTTTATAAACACACCCAAAACTCATCATTACACACACTCAAAACCCATTTATAAACACACCCAAAAAGTTGACTTTGGGGTTGATTTTGGGTGTGTTTCTATGTTTAAATAGTGCTTGAGTTTTTTTATAAATACATGTCTAGGATTGGGTTTATTTATAAATTTGTAATTTTTTTTTCCTCCAACCTCGTAAACTCATAATTTGAGTTTACAACTTTATTAAATTATTTAAGAATAATTAACCCCTAAATTTTTTTTGTCGTTAATTTTTCTTGACATTATTTTTGTTTCAACATTCGTAATTTAATTTTCTAAACATTTTAATCTAAAAAAATTGAAATTCCATGAACATAACATTTTTTTCACTTAAAATGAAAATGAGAATGCCATTTGTAGAGTTTGAGAGTGGGATCTCATTTATAAATTAAAAATATTATTTTAACCATTTGATTTTAATTTCGACCATTGGATTTTCTTTTGCTCGTTAAAATCAAATTGAAAAAAATATGGGTCGTTTATATCTATTTGACAGAGCTTGAAAAATCACAAAAATTTGGTTCCCATTGCTTTTAAAGGCTCCAAAAGATTAGATAAAGAATTTAAAAAAAACAAGAAGATGCATCATTGGTTTTTCAAAGGGAGCCGTTGGATTCCAGTGTCCCTTTGATGTGAGCCTTCCACGCGTCCAACAAGTTGGCTTTGTTCTGCCATTCCTTCACATGCTGCGCAAGTTGGCTTTGACTTGGGGCCTACATAAATTTCATCCAAACTAGAAAGTTGGGCCAAATTCCGCCAGAGGTTTCAGTCTGACCTAAATTACCACTCCTTTTTATGCATGGTTGGAGAAGGTTTTTGAGGCTATAATCCTAAAATTTGGGTTTTGCCCTCATAATTGGAGATGGTCTTATGAGCTGCTGCTCCTCAGTTGGAATCACTAAAAATATTCCTAAATGTGAAAGCTTGGTCAACATTGAAGTTGAACCCAAATTTAGAATCAGTAAAAATTCTTTTCCTTTGTCATATTACTTTCCCCTGCGGGGACACTAGGGCATGAAAACATCCGATTTGTTCTACCGATGAAGAATGAACCAGCTTCTCCCTAGCTAGTACTAGGGTTGCCTGATGATGATGGCTAGGAATTTGGAACCTTTTAGTTGTGGTCATGGACTCGTGGGTTGTGCTTGTCTTGGTGAAGATGATGAGATTGAGAATATTAGGTTTTTATATGAGAGGTGGGTTCAGCCATCCCCAATTTGCAAAGCACCTTCAGTTTCTCCGTTGATGAGAAAGTGGAGAATTGAATTTGTGCTAAAAGTCGTTTTTTACCCTTAGCAGAACACCATGCTTAGAATTAACAAAAAAACACTTTAAGAACCGACGGCAGGACTAACATTGCTAACAGAAGTGGAGTTGGAGAACCACCGTAACCATTTTGCGAATTGAGGGATGAAAATACAAATCGAGTGTAAATTTAGGGATCATTAGTCCTAAAAAGCCTTATTTGTAAATCTATAATGGGGATAGAGAGATTGATTTTTAAAGTTGTCAAGAATGACATGCAAGGTATGAAATATTCATATATTTAGTAGAAGCATGCCATTTGTAATATCTACAACTTTTATAATTATTTGCATTTGCTACATGAGGATACTGTGATTAGTAGAATAGTCCATTTGCCATATTCACATTCTTCCCCCGATTACGGATATATACATTTTCTTTTACACTTCGAGCAATACATTTCCCAAAATCTATAACTTCTAAATATAGGTAGCATTTATAAAGTTAGCCAACTTAACTAGTAGATTACTTCAGACCTTTATACAGTACAGGTGCAGAGTTATTATGCAAAGAACACTGGTTGTCTTTGAATTAGTATAGTTGGAGGTGAACTCTAGCCGGTTGAGGATTTACTCAAAACTAGTTAGAGATTCAGTATTGCAAGTTAGCATCTCAAGTTAGTTTTCTGGTAGATCATCGATTCGATTAGAGCTTGATATTCCTTCAAAAATTTGATTTGTAATGTAGAAAAATTGTTTAGTTTCCCAGGCATCCTATGCCATTACAAGAGAAGGTTTGCACTACATACTTCATCCTATTCCCCTCCTATTTTCTGCTTTCATTGACTTTTATTTTTATTGGGTAACGTAACATTTGTTCTCATCAGTGTGTATCACCTTATCAAGGGGCAGCACTTATAAGGTCATTTTCATATGGCTTTGAATGCCTTGGATTTCCTACAATGAAAAGATCCATCTTCATCTGCCTTGACCCGGCCAGATCTTCCCACATCAGGTAGCCAGAGCCAAGATCCATGTTAATCGATCTAGCCAAGATCCTATTTCATTAAAACAGGAGGCAAAATCCAGTTACACAAAGCAAGAACTCAAGAAAAGAGGCTCAACCAAATACAACAAGAGAAGACAAAACAGTCATGAACCTTCAAAGATTCAAAGAGCTACCCCTACAGACAAAAGACACAAAACAACGTAAAAAACAACATAAACTTAAAACAGACTTAGGAAATCCGAAGGCAAGGGAAATAGACCTGCTGCATCACTCAAAACCAACCAGCTACGCCACCAGAACAGGACCATGACCACCGAAGAGAAACCGATAACCAAAGGGGCATACAGAAAATGGTGGTGGACAAGCCACCCAAACTACAGAGAGCGCTACCATAATCCAAGTAAGGAGTGCAAAAAAGCACTTTAAAAGCATCCACAAGTCCGGAAGTGCCACCGAGAAAACCGACGGAAGAGGTAGAAAACAAAAAATCATAATATATGTTTCAAGCTCGAATTCTGTCGTTTCTCCAAACCTAGGCCAAGTAATAAAACCACACAAATATGCCGGCTAAGATTTAATATGCACACAAACAATACAAAACAATATTGATAATTGAGATCAAAAAAGTATTAGTTCAGTTCAAATATCCTCTTCTCACTTTGAAAAATTAGCACTATACTTGTTTTGAATTTGTCGAAATGACAAATATTAGCCTCATTGGCAGGCGGACTATACTTTTCTTTGAGATGTTGATCTTTCTTGGAGTTCTTGAACGCTGTGAGGAAAATCAGCATGCGAAATATTGAAATCATAAGGTTACTGGTAAGCTTGGCTTAGGCCGGCTCGATTGTATTGTTAAGATTGACCATAAGGCGGACGAGTAGGATTCTGACCTCGATACGGCTGAGCTTGACCGTGAGGTTGATGATTTTGTTGATCGTATGGTTGAGTTGGCCCCTGTTGAACATTCTGGTTGTCGCTCCATCTGAAATTGGGATGGTTGTGCCACGCAGGGTTATATTCTGATATGGTCCTTTGATTGTTTTGACATGGTCCAACAACGTAGCCTTGCTCCATCAAGAAATCATTAAAAGACTGTTGTTCTGCACCTTGAGGACAAGCTTCATTTACATGACTTGGTGTAGTGCAAATGGCACACACATTGGATGATACTTGCATCATTTGTTTCACCAAATTAGTCAAATTAGTAATTTGAGCCTCAAAATGTGAAGATGTACTTACCTCATAAACTTCAGATTTCTTAGGTGGAGACCTTCTATTGTCGAACTGTAGAGAATTATCAGAAACATTCTCAAACGTTTCTCTAGCTTGCTTACGAGTCTTGTCCATGAGACTGCCTCCTGAAGTTGCGTCAACAATCATACGGTCTAAATAGAGAAGGCCTCCATAAAAGGTGTGCATTAAGTGCCATTCTGGGATGTTATGATCTGGATAAGAATTTAGAAGTTTTTTGTATCTCTCCCAATACTCATGAAAGGGTTCTCCATCTAATTGTTGAATCTCCAAAATCTCTTTCTTGATTTTTCTTTTTGAATCCCCACAATACTTGTGTAGAGAATTATTAGAAACATTCTCGAACGTTTCTCTAGCTTGCTCAACAGTCTTGTTCATGAGACTACCTCCTGAAGTTGCATCAACAATCATACGGTCTAAATCAAGAAGTCCTTCATAAAAGCAGTGCATTAAGAGCCATTCTGGGATGTTATGATTTGCACAAGAATTTAGAACTTTTTTGTATCTCTCCCAATACTCGTGGAAGGGTTCTCCATCTAATTGTTGAATCTCCACAATCTCTTTCCTGATTTTTCTTGTTCTTTGAGCTGGAAAGAATTTCTGTAGAAATCTTGAAGCAAGGGTTGCCCAAGTTGTGATAGAGTTGGGTGGCAAGGAATAAAACCACGCCTTTGCGCTATCTTTCAAACTGAAAGGGAAAAGTCTCATTCTTATTTCCTCATCATTCATTACTCCAATTTTCATGATTGAGCAGACTTCAGAGAACTCTTTGATATGCATATGAGGATCATCTTCATGATTGCCGAAGAACTTGGGCAATAAGTGAATCATGTCTGATTTCAACTCAAAGTTGGCCAATGTATTTTCTGAATGAATTATGCATGATGGTTGGACAGTTGCTTGCGGTACAATAAAGTCCCTCAAAGAAGGTTCCAAATTAGCACGCTCAGCCATTATAGTAAAGGTAGAGGCTTCTCAACCTTTGATGAATTCGGTCTTGAAGATTTTGGTGATAATGACGGAGGAAGTGGATATGCAAAGCTTCTTAGAGTTGTCGCTTTTGTTCTTCTCTTAACAAATACTCTTGGATGTCAGATAGCCTTTCATCATCAGAAAAACTTGAGTTTGGACTGTATACAGGCGAATTAATCATTCAATAAGAAAAGAAATTACCCAAATTATAATTACTCGCAAGTACATGAATCCCTTAGGTATGGATTTATAAATATGATGTTGATCACATGAGGACTTGATAATTTAAATGCAATTCTAATTTGAACAAGTAAAGAACAATAAATAAAGAAGTAACAACAAACACAAAAAGGGGGTTCTGGTTTTAGGCTTCTGTAACTAAATTCTCAAGACGAGTATGAAAGGAAATGCAAATTAAGAAGGATTAATAAGCGCAAACAACGAGATGCAAATTAAGGTAACAAATACTCGGGCACTTGGAATCAACCCCTAACCATCCTAAGCCTTAGCTAAGAGGAATAGTTGCTCATACTAAATACAAATACAACTAGAAACATAATTAAGATAAAGCTTACAGATTTTGGATGAACAAGAAGGCATAAGGGCCTGCAATGGAGGAAGAGCTTCCTCCTTTCTTGCTTCTTCCCTTTCTCCCGTTTCTCAGTCTCTCCCCCTTCTCCTTGTTTCTTTCTTTAATAAAGTTCAGCTACTCTTGCCTTTTTTATGTTTTTTTGGATCGAAATCAGCTACTCCTGCCTTCACGTGAGTGACTTCCCATTCAGCTGCTGCTTTCTGTTTATTCCCATCTTGCTTCATGATTGAGAGACTAAAATAGTATTTCTTTTATTATAGCCATAGTTGGCCATAGATTTTTCTTGTCTGCTTTTTGTCATGGGCTTTGTTTTATATTCATATAGGAGCTCCCTCTTTTGACTCAGCTGGTATCTCCCTATCTATTTGTAGATCTTTGTTGTCAAGTGGTACAATATCAAATAGAACGTGGTGAGACAATGATGACGAGACACAAAGGGAGGTCACAAGCAGCGTAGTCAATAATTGTTGTTTCTAGGTCAATGGATCATATCGGGGGTTTTGGAATTAGAGAGGAATTTAGAAAAAATCTTGAATGACTTGTGTAGTCATGTATTTTATAGGCTCTTTGTATATTAGAGTTTTTGGAGAATAATCCTTATTTGGTTAGGATTATTCTTATCTAAAAAGATGATAGAAATTAACTAAAGAGATTTAATGGAAATTGGTTCCTTGATTTAGGGAGATATTCATTTATTAAATCAAAGATAATTTCCTAATTAAATAGGAATATTCCTTCATTTAATTAGGGCAATTAGTTGATTTAAAGAATATTCATTTTTCACATGTCATCTTCTTATCTGCCAACGAAATATGTGTTCCGACAAATGTGATATCATCCATTATAGTCCAGTACCCAAATAGAGATATATATTTTTTTGGTTAAGCATTTTTTTTTCCTCAGAAAATAGTTATTCAAAGATCCTCCTTAAACTTTCAGCAATTTGTTCTTTACAATAAAAATCTCAACAATCAACACATAAGACCAAAACAATAACAATAAAGCAACTACAGATAAAATCAATCATTTAACTAATGAAGAAAGAACAGTAAAATATGAATTTTGAGCATTATTTTCAGTAGAGGAGGTTGAAATAAAAGTAGGTAATGCTAATTAATAAGCAGAAAGGCTCGAGTAATCAACCATATATATGTCTGGAATTAGATCAAAGTCGGTAGAGTACTGAAATTTTGATTCTATTGAAACTTCTTCATGATCTACAATAAACTTATACACCAATTTTATTTCTTTTAATTCTGTCATTAGTGTATGTTCGGTTTATCTAGTATATGATAGCAAGTAAACCACCATTCAAACACCCTGGGGAGAGCTTTACCAAACAGTTTCCGGCTCGGAGTGAGAGAATTTTACCAAACCAGAAATTGTCCCTAGATCTTGGTAATAAGGAATCCAAAATATAATTCTCAACATTAACACAAATGAACTTCATATCTCAAACAAGAAATTAACGAAACAAGTACTAAAAAAACAAAGAAAAATACATTGCAAATTAACAAAAACCAAAAACTAAGAGAGATAGACAAGTATTGGCTCGGAGAATTTGGAGCAGAGAAATATATCAAACGCCACAATATTCCTTGATGGAATACAAAGGCCCAAGGGTGGAGTAATTCTTTTTAAAATATTGTACATATTCGAACTGATGCAATGCCTTATACTGCAGGGGGTGGTCTTTGTCCACAAGCTCCTTGGGTACGTGTGTTTCTCCTTCTCTGTAGGAAAATAGTCCGAACGAGTATCTTACATCGTTCTCCCTCAAGGTCACTCGATGCTTACAAGCTCGCACTCTGTCGTTGCTCCAAACCTAGGCCAAGTCATCCGGCTAAGATTTAATATGCACGTTACAATACAAAATTAACAATATTGATGATTGAGATTACAAAAAAGTATGAATTCAAAGCACTACTCGTTTTGAATTTATCATCAAAATGCCAAATATTGACCTCATTTGGTGGGCGGGAATGGAAGACAGGATTATAGGACTCGGTCTAATCCCATCCTATTTAGAGTCTTGTCCTTGACGAGGAGACTTGTTTTCTCTAATATGTGAACTATTATTATCCAATTTAATAACGAGTTGAGTACCTCCTTTATTAAGAGCACCAAACATGAGAAGAATATTCCATTTGTCCGGGATATCAAAGGAAGCCTTAATGTTAATTTTAAGTTGGCTGATTTTGCGAAGCTAAATATTCAAGTTTCATATAATTTATTTTGAAATATCTGTTGCAATTGGAGAATTGAGCGTTTCTCATGTTAGCTTGATCGCTTGTCGAGCTTTGTAGGTCTATATTTCTGGCTCCAACACTGGACATGCGTAACATGTGATTCCAAAAAAAATTTAACTTATTAACATACTCAAGACACATTATATGTAGTTTTTTGTGCCATACCTGGAATCCATCACCTGCTAGGAATATGAAGGATGAAGGTAGAGGATCAACGCTTATCCACTCATTGTCCTTTGAATATATTTCCAGACCTTTGACATGATTTTGATAGAGTGTAGTGTTAAAGGTCTTGTCTGTATGGGCGGGTAGACCCTCATCAATTCCAGTTTTGTCGAATCCTTTGTATTGATTAAATCGGTACGTGTGAACGATTGATTGGATGTGATCATCATGGTACTTCTCTACACCGTAGTTTTCGAACACCATTCTTGTCACAACTTGATCTAGCTCTTCCATCACTTTTGCAAACAAATCAGCACCCTCACTGCCCAACAAACAACAAATACTCTGAATGTTCAAAATTTAAGTCACACTGCAAAAGGTTGAGCTAAACATGATCATATTTTCAAATGTTTTATGTCAAATGTAGTACTAAATTATACCGAAATGAATCGTGTCCCTCAGGCCAAAAATGATGTGTGAATCTCCGAGTGTATTCAGGGTCTGTAGCATAGCCAATCCCCAAGCCTTCATTGGCGGCATTCGCTGTTATGTAGCCACTGGGGTAGGGCTTTTCAAAAGAACTTTGCACTTTGATTTCAGTGGGGAAATCAAACAACTCGCCCAACGTACCAAAGAAGGTGTTGTGAAGCTCCGGAGAAACTTTGCCGGGCAGTATTGCGACGAAACAGCCTAGCTCTTCGAGTGCATGGCAGATGCTTTTGCTAATAGAGAGCCAAGAACTCGTCCCCGGCTTTAAGCAGTCTTCGTTGGAGAAATCCACCACAGGAATTTTGGCCACTGTTTGGGTGCCCATGCTTATGTATATCTTTTGAGGGATGCATATACCAAATGAACCAGAATGATATTTATAGAGTAGTTAAAGGTTATGTATTTTCAGATTTTTTTTCATAAATTATACATGTCTGATTTGCGTGGCTGATATGCATCGTCAATGAAGATTTTATAAAGAATAAATTTCGAAATTTAATATATATTATAACAATATGTCACTTGGGATCTTCTAAAACATGAACAAAAAAAAAAACATCATCATCAAGAGTTCGCATTCATGATTTGATTTCTTTTAAGTAGATGTCCTAATAGAAGAACAAGTCAATTGAACAGATGTTCATGATTTATAGAAATTTATTCATGAAAACAACTAGCTATCTACTTTTCTTTATATTATATACTTAGCTTAAAAGTTGGGTTCTTGTAATTTAGGGAAATAAGTCTCCATCAATCACAAATTTTTTTTTTTTGTCAGACTCCATCAATCACATTCGTTGTGCGAAAAGCTTACATTATTACAAGTTTTTTAGTGATATCTGACAAGCTCATACGAGTCATCATAAATTTTTATGCATGATGAATATAACTAGTTAACTGCTTTCCTTGATTTATATTAATTCTTTGGCCTGACTTTCCTAGCTCTATTTCTGCTCACCCAAAATCCTTCGGCCAAGATGGAGTGAGGACAAGGCATGTTGTCCTTTTTTAAATACGTGAATGCGAGTGTGAGACGTCACCATTTGATGATCTTACGACACACAATCTTCTAATTCAAATCTCATAAACAATATAGTTGTAAAGTGAACAAACGATTTATTATCTAAAGATCGTTTGGCCGTGCAAGGGATTTCTTGGCCAAGGGCTCTTTACCATGCCTTATTTTAGGCAAAGACTTTGTGTACCTTCATAAATAAATGAAACGAACTCTGGTGAGCCCTGAAAACAGGGAAACAAATAACAATGAAAACAATTTGGAACTGCAAGGTAAAACCAATCTCAAAAGCTTCAAAATACAAGTTATAGTTTGGCTATATATGATGCTAAATTCAAATCCTTACAAGCTAAAGACATTGGTCCCTTTCCTTGCATTGTGCCTTGCTCATCTCATATAAGAAGCCTTCAAACATGAAGGTTTTTTATAATACTGTGGGTCGAAAACGAAGCCTACTGCAAAATTAAGGGCAAGAAATTCAAAAAGTTCCGTTGCCGGGAATCGAACCCGGGTCTCCTGGGTGAAAGCCAGATATCCTAACCGCTGGACGACAACGGATTCTTGTTAAGTAAATCCGCATTAAAAATATAAGTACACCTAAATCGAAAATAATCAGAAAATCATATCGAAGTTTTAATAACGTCAGCTGCTGCTTTGCACTCAATAATTCTATAATGAGGACTTATATGTGGCTCTTAGGTGAAACTCTATCTTTTAGCCGTTGGATCAAATTGGTATAAGCCCTCGTTATAGAATGACTTGCTTCGCTTGCACTACATAATGTGCCAACAACAAACCCATCCAAATACATAAATCAAACTTCCACTTCTATAACCCAATTTTTACATCCGGTGGCTGTGGCTGCTTGTCACACCCCAATTTTTTTTTTTTTTATTGGATTTTTTTTTATTAGGAGTGTGAGGTAAAAGAAAAACTAAAACTAAAAATTTAAATATCAAGAAATATGAGAACTGAACATAAACTTCTATTTAAACCAAAGTAATTTACATTGTAATTTTACAAACAAAATAACAGGAAAGCAACAGACTTTTAACTTTTTCTTTTCTTTTTTTTTTTACAACAAAACACCCAAAACTGTTCACAACTCATTCTTCTTGTTTCCACGTCACAAACTAAACTTCATATCCAAAACCTGCAATAGATTTAATACGGGGTGAGCACTACATGCTGAGTAGGGGTTCTATGTCTTATGTGATTAGTGAGATTTATAATGTACAATTTATGCAATGCATGAATGAACTTCAATTTTACTCAACCCGTTAATCTATATAATAGAGCAAACAAATCTGCATGTCCCATACCATGCATTTTATCACTGTGATTTCGAATACCCCAATATATAAACTAACACCCATCTCAATTATCCCATAATTCTCCTTTTGCTAGTTATTTTGTCTAAATCATTGACCTCCAAGCCCAAATAACCCAATCGACAATTATACAGCCAATTTCCTAATCTACTGTGCACACAGGCTTGCCTGAACTTGGTCCCTACAATAGTCAGACTCAACTACACAAAAGATCCTTCTTATTACTCTCTTTTCCATAATTTCTTTATCAACCCAAGAATTCAACCACCACCGATAACATATGAACATGTCAACATTAATCAAATTATAATGATAATTGACAACATGTAAACACCCAATATCAAAGACAATAATCAAATAATTGTCGATTTATGTAAACACCCAACACCAAGCATAATATAGTGTTCACAATATTTAATTAAATCAATTTATGTAAAGCCTCCCTAAGAAAAACCCCTACCTCAAATCCAAAGCTATTGTATAACTCTCGATCACAAGTGCAAACACTTTGAGTTTCTCCAAAATCTCACCACACTTTAGTTCTCACTTTTTTTTCTTTTTCTACAAATTTAAGGAAACTAAAGCAATTTAAGTGAAGAACTTATGATACAAGAAGTATTAGGGAGTGCTGTTGATAGGAAGCTAAAGTCGGCAAAGTCCAAGTAATAGGTATAGATGAAAGCTAATATTGTGCCACACAACTAGTCTATAGTTTCCTATAGTACTTTGGTGGCTTGAAAGTAATCTGCCACACCAAATATAGCCCTATGCGTTGGCTTTGTAGGGTGCTTAGTAAGCACTCTCAAATTAAGGCCATATATATAAGAATACATACCATGCTTACACCTCCTGCTTAAATATTCCTCCTCGTGCTTTAACAAGATTTGAGAACTATATGCTTGCAACACGTTAATTTTGAACAGAATGCATAGTAAGCATAAGGGCCTTTCTAAATGCTTTTGTAAAGTGTAAAATATATAAGAAATAGTACATATGGCTGATATGCGTTAACATAGTAAAAGCTATGCAATAAAATTTGATAAGGTAGGCTATACTAGTTTATAGCCAGACTCATATCACGTGCCTTGCCATAAATATATATTAGTAATTATATAGTATGCAAAGATTAAATATTAATATGTACATATATATTCTTTTTTTCTTTTTAAATACAGGGTTTCACACTGCTATAAAAATTTTGAATGTTGCGCTTGTGTTACACAAAGAACAGAACGGAGTTCCAGATCATAAGTAATTTCTGTGCACGGTGAACAGATCTAATTTTCAAAACAACAAAATGAGAACCTACAATTATATGATTGATTTTCAGTATAAAACACAAACATGTTCAGAAAACCAAATTCATAATTAAATCAACATTTTACATCATGCATACAAAATTGGTAAGCATATCTTCAACTTAGTGTTAGACGCCTTGCTACCACTCAAAGCAATTAAGCAGCAAACTGTCAAATCTTTTATCCCCTGTTGCAAATCGGGGAAGCCAAAATAGCTTTATGTTACTACCAAAAAAAAAAAAAAATCAGTCATTTTTTCGAAAATTTCTTTGATGCTTCATTGCTCCTCGCATTTAGTGACTGCAGAAAGATAAGGAGAAACAAAGAAGTTAACATAGATGATAGATGTTCATACGAATTACTCCACAAGAAAATTTTTAAATCAGAAGGAATTGTCATAATGAAAGGACAGAGACATGAATAGCATATGAATTTATGAAGAAAAGCAGAAGGGGCATACCAGAAATTTTGAGTGTCACTGGATCAAAACTCAAATGAAAACTTCTGGATTTTGACAACACTTCTAACAGCCCCTTCAAGTAGTTGCCCTGTGTTCACGTACTATTTACCAGGGTCTGGTCTGACCTCCATATAACCTGATAAAAACCCAAACAGATAATCAAAATAAACCAGTTATTTATAATCGCACAAGGTAACGTTGAAGCACAGAAATGGTGAAAATAAAATCATTCTGAAACTTTTTTCAGAACCCGCAGCCCCTGAAAAACACATAGGTAGTTAACGGCAGAAGCATAGAAGAAACAGTGAAAACAAATATCTTCTGTCATCCTTGGGACATCATACGCAATATGGCACATCGTACCGCCCAATCAGTTTTGTTACCCTTAGAACCCCAGATGTGATATAACCCACTCGAAACATCAAATTATGATAAGGTAAACATCATAAACTTCATGAAATACAATGTCTGGCTTCAATACCACTGAGAAGAGAACTATTATTGAAATTGAATAACCAACTCTGGAAGAATGGTAACAACATTTATCTTAACTAAGGGCGCATAGTCGTAATTAATCCAAATTAAATTTTGAATTAAGATTTATACATTAGTTTTGGTCCCTTTTATCAAAATTAAATCATCATCAGAAGTGAGCTCCTCCGCAACCATGTGTATCCAAGAAGTAGCAAATCAAATGTTTCCTCCACTTCCATATCAGCGGAAGTTGAAACTGACAGATCCAACAAACCGATAAAAAGTAATAAAAAAGAAGCTGATACTGGCCACACACTTTAATAGTGCAAACATACATAGCAATCATAGAATGAATGTATCTGCTAACACTGATCTTTCAACCTTCAATTTCAAATAATTTATATGACACCATTTATGCTTCAACCTTCAAGTGACAATAATAAACAGTGCTAAACAGATGAAAGTGGTTTATGCATTGTAGGACAATTTGAAACAATGCATCCATTCTTTGTTACTAGAAACAATCTAATGTTTGAAGTGTAAATAATGACAGCTTCTGAGAACATGGGCCAAAGACATCACAGTTCAATCAAACAAATTAATAAATTGAAGCAATTGGAAGATTAACATTACATTTGAGATTGGTCATTACTCTCCCTAAGAAAATTATTGCTGAGTGTATAACATATTCAATTAGCAATTCGCAGTTCCGACACAAGTAATGTTCTAAATTTTACTAAATTGGCTTTTAGTTTATGAAGAGTGACACTGACATGCTACAGATATGCTCAGATTCTCATTTAAAATTATCCAAACATAACACTGTCTTCTTTTTATTCCCTAATCCAATCCGAGTATAACCAAGCACCCCAAACTTAAACATAAACCTTCGTAGGAAAATAACAAAAGCACAGTTTTTATGCATAATCTAGTGCAGGAAACATCAAGAAATTGAACATTTATAGCAGGAAATTGCACAAAAATAAGCATTTACCTCTTCTCAAGATTTCTCAAATGCACACCGCACCACTAGTTTCGATTCCCAATCACTAGCCTCAAAATGCAAACAAGTGATAAAGAGGACTGGTTTGGCTGAATGTTGGAAACATCAAGAAATTGAACATTTATAGCAGGAAATTGCACAAAAATAAGCATTTACCTCTTCTCAAGATTTCTCAAATGCACACCGCACCACTAGTTTCGATTCCCAATCACTAGCCTCAAAATGCAAACAAGTGATAAAGAGGACTGGTTTGGCTGATCGTTAGGAATCAGAATAAAATCTACCTACCTCAACCCTTCATAACTCCTATTTCATTGCAGAGAAAATCTAGAAGCAGAACGGAAAATTGTGGTTCATGATTCCGACTAGCCTTTCTCTGCTAACCCTAATTGAAACTGAAACAAAATGATGTATGAAAATCAGAGAGAGGGGGAGAGAGAGAGGCTAGCTCTCTCTGCAATGGAGAAGCTAGATCTACCTCCCAATATCTCTTGCTCTCTCTCACTCTAACTCTATGTGTCTTGATCTGCACCTTCTAGGATTAATTGAAAACAAACTAATGCATATGTCATTTAGTGAGAAAGGAAAATAGATAAAGATATTAAATGTTTAACAATAGATCGCTTGCTACAATCTCAGCCTTTTGGTTAGGAATCTAATTAGATCAAAAGTAATTAACATACAGAAGCTAGCCAATATGGTAGTTCAATCATGCATTGACTTTATAATCAAACATTACTCCCTTCCACTAAAAGGGGCACTTTTTGAAGCTAAGTGGAGCCTGATTATCTCAACGCACATCTTTATTCCCTTGAAAATAAGCAAATAAGTAAATGGGAAAAACAATATCTCAATAATCAGGAAAAAAAATGTGCTAAAAGCAGATAAATAAATGTGCTATGATTATCAATTTGATTGTCATCCTTTTCTTTCTATTTCTTTTTTAGAGAAGATTCCTGTCCTACAAATACTGACCAGCAAATTTGTTTTTTCTTGACTTCAATGGTATTGCCAGCTTCTGAAACTTGACTCTTGGGACAATATAGTGCATGGCTCACACATAGTACTTAATACAAGCTTCCGACTTATAAAAACTTCTGAACAACCTTTTTCTCAAATCTTGCAAATACAATGAATTGGGTTTTCCAGATAGTTAGTAGTTACACTGAATTCATTGTGATTTCAAACAATTTTTATGATGACATTTATCCACAATGACAATTCGAATGCAAATTTTTGGCTCCTTCGCTTTCACAACCATTGGAGTTTTTCTCTACATTTCTTGCCTATCATCATAAGAATGTGAAAAATATCAAACAAAATGAAAATGCCAATATGTCTAAACTGAACATGGTCGCAGTTAAACTAACTAATAGTCTCACATCTACCAGATAAGAAAGCCAGCTGATGGACATAACTTATACAAGGGACTAAAAAACACAACAGTTCTTTTTGGTCTCAAAGTGACTGTATTACCCAATTTACTGATTCAGGATGGACCACGAGGAATTACATGTGAAGGATAGAGAGAAATTTCAGGGAACAATACCTTTTAATTTGTACACAGATCTCATGCCTACAAAAACATCAGCTTTTCTCTTGAATGTACATCTCTCTTCTCAATAAAGTAATTGACTATCAGAACATCACTAAATTTGTAGCTGTCCCAACAACAAAAGGCTCCATTAATAACCGAGTCAAGAAGTAAAAAACGACACCCAATGTAATCGATATAGGCAGAGCAGGCAAAGCTCGATGGCACACTGACAACAAAATAAGAGTGCACCCAAGTCCGGAAATAATGGCAAGATAACAGGCATACACAGTCATAAGGTCATACATTGCAGCTCTGCCCACAAGAACACTGTAGAACACGAAATCCCCAAGACCAAGTTTAATACCTTTACTGAACATTTCGCTACCATCCCTCCTCAACTGCTCTCTCTCATTCCCCAGTCCTGTCATTTCAACAAGAGGGGACATTTCCTCATTAATAATCTCAGATGCTCCACTGCTAAATTGCGTAGCTCTATCAGACTGAACAATCACAGTTGAATATCCCGAAGAATTACTGCTTAACGACTGCCTATCCTGTGCATTCTCCTCTGACAGTAACCTCTCCCCTTCATCTCTATTACTCTCATGTCTCTCACTCCCGAAACTTCCAAACTCAACCGCACTGTACTCTGAATTACCACGACTTTCATTCTCATTTCGATTCACATTGTCCCTTGTGACTGCCTGAAGCTCAACTGACCCTGAATCCGAAACCCCAGCAACCAAAAGTTCTAATCCGGACCCACGACGCTGAGTATTTCGTGGCACAGTGGGGCGAGCCTCGTAAACCAAAGCGGGGAGCTCCTCATCCCGGCTAGAGGCCAACTCCACCAACAGCTTAAGCGGCCCACCGGGTGCCAGCACAGCCACCAAATCATACACAGCCAGAGCCACAAGCAAAACCCAAGTGGTCCATTCGGGCAACTTGGTAAACCAAGCCGCCACAATAATCCCCAAACAAACCATATAAGCTTGGCGTAGAAAAATGGGTATCCCACCAGAGAACACAGACAACACACCCACAACAGTGAAATTGAAAAGCAGCAAAAAGCAAGTGATGGAGTCAATGGGTATCGAGAAATGCTGGATTATGGACAAGAAAATCGAACCTCCCATGGTGCCGAGGACGAAGAAGGCGGAGAAGCGCATGTAGTTCTTCAAGAAGTTGGTGAAATTGTAGTAGTAGAGAAGGACGAGGAGGAAGGTGACGATGGCGATCAGGACGACGAAAACCAAGGCGTTGAGGAGAGCGCCTTCGAGCTTTTGGGAGGCGGAGTCGGAGGGGCTCTCGAGGTAGACGAGGTTGGCGGCGGTGCGGATCGGGGGAGCGGAGGCGGCGGCGGAAAAGGGGTTGGAGGGAGAGAGAGCGTAGACTAAGAGAACTACGAGGAGCATGCAGATGGAGACCGGCGACATGACGCCGATAATCTCAACGCCGATCGACTCTAGGATGCTCGACTCCATGGTTTTGTTTCGTTGGGGGACTTTCGTCGAGCAATTGGTGGTGTCTGTGTGCGGGGACGGCTACCGCATTTTCGTCTGTGCGAGGATTTTTGGGCACTTGGAGGATTTTAGTATCTGAGATTGCTGAAGGGAGAGGGTCAACCACTGTAGCTTTGCTAAATTGACATATTTTGTTATTGGTCTTAGGCTACGTTTGGTTCACCGAATGAATTTGAGGGGGAATCATTTTCCATGTCATTTTCTAATAAATATGAAATGAAAGATTCTTTTCCCATATTTGGTAATGCTGGGAAAGTAATCAGAAGATAATACTTTATTTCCTTTCCCATGTTTGTTTCGAGTAGAAATAGAAAACAAAGTTTGTATAAATTTTCAATTATACCCATATTAAATTAAATAACAAAATGCATTTAATTATATATTATAATTCTAAATTGTTAATGGGAACAAAATGGTCATGAAAAATGTGTATTTAATTTTGGTTCATTTCCCCAAGCTTTCCCATGATGAGGGAAAACAAAACTCAAGTTGAGAGGATGAGTACACTTTCCCCCTTACTTTCCCATAGGCCAAGCAATGATTTCCCATGCCTGGACTTACCAAACATGGGAAAGTAATTAATTTCCCATCCTCAAGTCTCTTTTCCCATGAACCAAACGGGGCCTTAATGAATTAAAGATGAATTTTAACAACCTTCTCTCTAACCTTCTCATTTGGACCTTCTCCATCTTTTACTTGACATGTGTCATTCTCCTTACACTAAAAATAATGTCATTAATATATTACAAATTTATAAATAAACCCAATCCTAGATATGTATTTATAGAAAGACCCAAGCACTATTTAAACAGAGAAACACACCCAAAACCAACCCCAAAGTCAACTTTTTGGGTGTGTTTATAAATGAATTTTGAGTGTGTGTAATGATGGGTTTTGGGTGTGTTTATATGTTTAAATAGTGTTTGAGTTTTTTTATAATTTAAGTCCCCATTTTGGGTGTTTTAGTGTAACTCCCTTAATATATTATACAAGCTAATTTTTGCTTTCCAAGTTTACCCTTATTAAATGTATTCAATTTATCCAAAAAAATTTCACAACTTTCTTACCATCTTATTAATTTTTTTTATTTAAGAAAATGTCTGCATTTAAAAAAAAAAGAAAAAAAAAAAGAGGAAATGTCCCTTTTTTTAACGCCAAGACTTTTTTTTTATTAATTAAAAAAAAAGACATTTCCTCTTTTTTTTTTTAAAGCAAATATTTTATAAATATATGTCTAGGATTTGGTTTATTTATAAATTTGTATAAAAAAAATTTAATAAGATGGTAAGAAAGTTTTGAATTTTTTTTGGATAAATTGAATACATTTAATAAGGGTAAACTTGGAAAGCAAAAATTAGGTTGTATAATATATTAATGACATTGTTTTAAGTGTAAGGAGAATGACACATGTCAAGCAAAAAATGGAGAAGGTCCAAAAGAGAAGGTTAGAGAGAAGGTTGCTAACATTCCCCATTAAAACGACAACTAGTCCAACAAAAATTAGTGATTATTTACATTGTTTATTGAAATATTAGGTTTAAGAACACAGTAAATTATAGTGATTATTTACATTGTTTAAAAATAAAAGTTGGTTGTGGAGGGCTTATAATTCAAGTCATTAAAAACAATTATTCATAAGTCTTGGGTTCGATTCCCTCTT